CAGTTCGTGGAAAGTCGTCAAGAATAAAGCTACGACGGCATTCCGAACTCTTGATGGCGTCCTTAATGATACCGACGATAATCTCATCGGTCACAAGTGCGCCCGACTCCATCGCGGCTTTGATCTTTTTTCCGATGTCGGTGCCATCAGCTACAGCAGCGCGCAAGATGTCGCCCGTAGCCAAGTGGCAGAGAAAGTACTCGTATTTGTCCAACAGCGATTGCGTACTATGTATATACAAGATTTTGAAGGAAGGGTGTGAATCTAAGGAAAAGGGGTGTGAATTTAGCAATTCCCTATAAATTTACGTATAAAGTTAACAATCTGCACTGACAACCAGTTTTAAAAAACCTCTTTTTATATACGATCACCTTTATGTTGTGTTTCGTGTATACATCGCAATCTCTAATTCAGAAATACCTATCATAGAACCAGACGTAGGAAAATTATCAACATGTCCACCCAGCTGTTACATCTAGCACTTCCTCTTCATAAACACATATCTTAAAATCATGTCACTCACAGCAGTATGTTCCATTTAGACATTCTCGCTTAGCTGCTGCACCACCAAGGATGCAATCTTCAAAATGAAATCCATCAATTATCTGCAGCCAGTTTATAATCTTCCGTCAGTCTCTATAGGCTCCTGCTTCGTCAACAATTATTCAATCTACCGCAAAAAAACGTCAACAATTGATCTCCTGACGGCCATCAATGCCCCGAACGGACACGTGGCGTCATATCAGGGCTATGAATCCTTATAATAAAAGCACTCTCTCACCTTCGGTAAGACCTACTATAATTAAGTGCACACTCAATGCGTGCTCGTGCTACTTTCATAATGTAGCTCTGATTGGTGTGTGCAAGTAGATCAAGACAATGACGATTCACTAGCGCAAGACTTCACCTGAATCCCCCCAGTGATTGAATTAGGCGTGTAAGGTACGAGTGGGTTTCTTTAAGGATGGATGAGTGCACATACTACATTGGCGTATGATTGTCGCTTACTTCAAGGCAATAATAAATAGGTACTGACATGTGTGCTGGGAAATACACTCGCCGGTGGATATTTAGTCAATCGTTGTGTGTGCGTTGTGGATGACCTGCAGGTGTATTCTCAACCTAAGCTAGAGAATAACAAGAGCTTTATCGTGGAGGATGTGGTGCGTTTGGCTAGCATCGGTATGGCTTTGCTTTGTTTCTTGCACCCCGACACTGCTTCTAGTGTTACAGGTTCACCACATGTCTAAACTGCTTGACGCAGAGGCAAGAACAAGTATAAGCATGACGATTTTGTTTCGGTTTGCATGTGATTGATGAAGGCAGGCTTACGCTCGCCTTGCAAATTTGCTCAGGTAGATTTGACGATTCGCACATAAATAAAACACGTAATATACAATTGAATCTCTTACATCACAAACACTCTGGATAATGTATATTTATATTATCTACAGCTTATGTTATCGTTCCTTTATATTTGATAGACAGGAATGATCAGGTGGGATCGGTAAATGCCCCATGCCCTTCGTTGCCGAAACAAATTGAATGATATTATAAACTGGGCCACGTCTTGACGAACTGTGTTAGGGCTCAGAAGGACTGTGTCACGATCCGTGGCCTTTTTTAGGGAACCGTAAGTCTCCCCTCAGTTTTCTGGTAGAATCCTCTCAGTTTGATATAGAGCTACATGATCGGCTCATTTATGGACATGCCTTGAGGGTACTATATCGCAATAACTAGTTTTTAAGCATCTACTGGACCTAATCAGCATAATTCGCAATCGTTCTTACGTGCTCGTTAGCTGAAGATTATGTCAAGCTTTGCCTGGAACGTTTGCGGACTCGAAGCTTTTACGTCCGCAAATGGTATTAGCCGCTTATTACGTTTCGAATTTAGACGCCTTCACAAATAGCAAGCAATCTCCATCACGCTTTCATGTGAAGAATATCACGCTAGTGGGTGGTAAGGCTGCTACTTTCTTTTTTTTCTTTACTTTGTGCGAATTCGGATCGTTTGAGCCGCGTGCACGTGACGCGTCCTGTTCGTTTTGCAATAACATCCTTGATTTCATGTGTTGTTCCGGATCTGTCAATTTGCAATGTAGGTTCGCATAATAGCATGCATGAGTACATTAACGTAGTCGTGCACAGGGAGCTTTTGACGAGCGCGAATGCGGACGTCCCTGCTATTACAAAGACGTTAAGGCACCGCAACAGATCAGATACTGCTTGAAAGATACTCCAGTTGTTGATACTGCCAATGAAGTCAAGAAAACTGCGTGCTCGTGTCAGTAAGCGTCCGTTTCAGTAATGCACGAGTGATAGTGCCTGAAAAGTAAATAGAATCGTACTGAGGAATGCAGTCAAAGTTAGTTTGATCCATAAATTGGTTCCCTTAACTTCTGTAGGTGTTGGTGTTATACGATTACAAATTCCACATTATTGTGCATTGTGACCCACCCCATTGCAACGGCCGCATCATCTCCACAAATTCTACGTGTTTATTGCATCGTGATGCTGACCGTTGCTTGCTTTGGTTCAATATGATGGTGTTACACTCACTCACTCACTTACTCACATCTTTTGAGTTTATGGACATCACTCACTAACATGGCTGAAAAGCCACCTACTACAATGACGTCCACCACACGATATTTTTCCACAAAAAAGGTTCAATTGTATTTGATACGACAAAAATGAATTTTTGAAAAGCAACTGATGTGATATTGCTACCTCTGTTATCGACTCATAATTAGCCAATCATGCAGTGTAATATTAAATTAAGGGGATTCTACCAGAAAACTGAGGGGAGATCAACGGTTCCCATCAATCTAAGGCAATACACGTATCGATAAAAGCGTTATTGTAAATATTATTCGACCAGCTCACTCCGTGTTACGGTTCCGAACTGACTTTTTCACCCCTCCACGGCAACATTCGGATGGATGTTCAACCGAGTTATGTGATAAAGCGCCGGGGCTCGCTATGTCCCTTCATTACAATTCATACTCCTTTAATTGTCGGTTAATTATGAAACAAATTGATTGCGAGGCCAAATGGCGAAGTCTTTAATGACTGTGCGCAAGGTGAATGCCAAACTTTTTAAATCCTGCTGATCCGTCTGTGTGTGTCTGGATGTCTGTAAATAACGCTAGGTGTACTCAACACGTCGTACTAACTGCGATCTAGCCTGGCCCTTCCTCTTAGGTTTACAGGCATATTCGAAGTCGCTCTTTAGACAGTTCACCGTTGTGACACACGCTTGTGATCGGCATCACATCGACCGAAGATAAATTTTAATATTTAAGCAAATGCTGGACGCTCATAAGCAAAAGCTGATCGCGCTGTCCAAGTACACGGTATCGGGTTAAAACAGACTTTCACAACACCATACTCATTCTTTAGTGATTGCTGTTGGATATGTTTTGTAACTTGACTCTGTTCTCCGAACTGGATTACAAATTGAAGGGCGAGCTTCAGAGCTTGCTCTAGTTTACATTTGCGCACGCACAACAAGCCATACATTTTAAGAGATGTAGCAACAGCAAGCACAAGTACGGGAACTGGAAGGCATCTACTGCTGTCACTAGCAGTTGTCAGGTAAGAAAGTGATTGGCAAAGAATGGTGGCCAGCATTTGGCCGACGCGGAAGTACGCGACATATTCGTTATGCTTCCTCATGCTTACGTGCGTGCATGGCACATTTATCAGTAGTGACAACGAGTTGTGACTGCATCGATGACTCGTGATGATGCTGTGCATCAAAAATAGATTGTAGTTGGCACATTTTAGAGATTATAATAATGATACTATCACAACACTTTACACTAGGGCTATCCTACTTTTGATGTCGATGGGTTTTTTGTTATAAAATTCTTATAACCCCATTTCATACTCGATGTCTTGATTACTTCGAGTTCGAAATAGTGCTTGATATCAATGTCGCTGGATGCAACTTGTGCAAGTTAAACCTGGCGGTAAGTCTTCGCTCAATCTTTGCTATCTGACAAACTATGAATCTAATATTGCCAATCGCTGGAATTTATACCTATTGCTATTGCGAAGTATGCATCGCCGTTCGATCTCTCGCATCCACGTTACCAACCCTACTTGGGACATATGCTGGCCATAACTTGGAGGTCCACCGACGACGACACAGATGCTATCTTTAAAGACCAAGAAATTTTGGGCTCGGTCACAGGAACGCTTCGGTGGACAGCAAATACCATTTGAAGTGGCTGAACGGAAGCGTTGATCGGTCAATGACTGCATCCGTCAATGACTTTATCGGATTTGAGCCCAGCGGATGTCAGCAATCAAATAAATATCGCAACATTGCGCGACAATCCTCTACGATTCAGAGCCGAGTATCGATTGCGATTAAAAACGACAAGAGACAACATCGATGAAAGCAACAGACATGGTTTAGATACAGATGCTGTACAAAAAGACAACAGAACGTTGAAAAGAAAGAATGGAGGATGTAAGAATCATTGAGATGGTGGTATCGTGCCTCCTCAAAAAGTGGCGGTGGATGTCGACGTTCAAGTCCATTGCTTCCACGTCAGTCACATTCACTGTTAGTTGATGGTTCCTCATTCTTGTAGTCGGTTATCAATTGATCATTGAATTTGTCTACGTTGATTAGATGTTCCTTCAATCCGATAACTACTAGTGCAAGGGCTTACGGGTACCCTTGTGTGCTGCCTCTTTTTGCAACTGTAGCGATTCCAGGGGAAAACGCCACGATTACGTTGATGCTAGTTTTTGAAGCCCGTCTAGTTGCCCGTGGGATCTCTTTTTGACGATCTTTTTCCTTGTTTAGCGGCTATGGTATCGAAAAACCCTGCCATGCCATCCTTTATAAGCACACTATTCCAACAAGACAACTAGATGTCCAATATCCATATCCCAATTGCGAAGGCAACAAACTCGGGTGATATAGCGGGGTAAATTAAGAGCAAGAAATGCTAAATAGTAATACGAAGTCCGACACGCTTCTCAACCAAAAAAGTGACGACCGAACAGGTAGCCCATCAGCAGCACGAACACACCCACACCATAGATGATCACCCGTGCAATAAATCGGCATGCCACAATATCACCAGGTTGCAAATTCCCACGATTCGCATTACGTTGAACCAGCACGGCAGCCATCTTACGCGCCTGGTGATCGAACGGATCACGTTGCTCGGCCACCTTTTCAGCGTGCGCATGGCGTCGGTGTAGGGCTTTTCGAAACGGCTCCTCGTGCCACTCGGGAATCAGCACGGATGGTGGGACGTTCTCGCCTCCATTGTCTTTATCAACCACCTCATCGGTCCGCGCCTCCTTCGTCGTCGTCACCGAATGCGGGCGCTATACCCATGTCAGCGGTGCCTCCACTACTGTCGCATTCAGTCGGCTCCGCCACCACTAAACCCGCAACATATTCGGCTTCTTCACGCCGACGCTGCATTGTCGCACGCTCTTCCTCTTCTTCCTTTGCAGCAATAGTATCAAGCGCACGCTGGATCTCGCCAAGCATCGACGGGTCCACTCCCATTGATATCAACACCTCCTTTTCAATGCGTGCTGAGCGATAGCTGCTATTTCTCTCTGCAGGCGATGCCAACAAACTTTGACGACGCGTTGTTCCTGGTGCAGACGATGACCTCGATTCCGCATCCAAACTACATCGAGCATCGGTAGCTGAGGATGTCGATGAGTCCAAACGCTTGCCAGTCGTTTCCCCGTTCATCTCCATCTCGCGCTGCCGCTCAAGTTCATTCTCTACGTCTCGATATTCTTGCGCTCCCTGTTTGTTGGTTTTCCCATCATCTTTGCTCACAGTCTCCTGTTGCTTTCGTATCTCCTCGCTCTCGAGCGAATGCAAGAGATTCGTGGCCAGCTCAGCCAGGAAAATCGAGGCCTCCGGCGACGCTGCCATGTCCGTAACACGGGTAACACACTCGCCCATAGTCTCAATAACGCGCCGTCCTTCATCACTCGCAAAGAAATCCACGACCGACTGCACCGTATGGACCAGCTGCTGCGTGGCCGACTTGGTCTCGGGCGTGTTAAGAGCTTGCGCTACCTTGGCCACTGTCGCCACGCTATTCAGCACCACGTCACGACCATTGCGAGACACGGCAGCACACAAAAAGTCCTTCTGCAGCTGCTTGGAACTCGCTCGGAGCTGCTGACCCTTCTCGGCCCCAAACACGCCAAGAGCGTCGGTCATTGCAGTCGTCAGCAGTCGCATCAAGTCCCGTGCACGCTGCGGCGTCAGTGTCTTGACTCGATCCCACAGCAAAAAGCTCAAAACAGCTGGATTGGCCACGGACCCAGCGAGCCGCGCAGCCACGGGGTTCACTATCGAAGCGTCCATCCACCTACATGGGAGAGCACCAGAAGATAATAACAATAGGGTAAACAACCAAGCACGTTGTTAATCGCTGCGTCCATTCGATTCAGCAGAGCGAGCTCCATGTTAGTTGACGTACCGAATCGCGTTGATTAGCATCTGGTTCGCGCTACTTTACACGCTCCACTTACGTAGCTCCTGGCTCCGTTGGGTTTATGTCAGTGTCGTTTGGGTGGGTAATAATAATAATGATAATAAAAAGAAGAAGGCTTCTCTGCCCCGTCTGCAGACGTGACGAGAAGCGACCTATCGTTTCGCATCCCTGATTCTGTAGTCTAGTTTTTGTTGACGCTGCGCTCTTTTTTCTCAGCGTAATCGTAAAATACGAGCCGTTCTTCTATTTGAAGCAGTGTTGTAAAGTGACACCCCTTCGAGTCAGCTAATGGACGCGATGCGTGGCGTGCACGGCGCTTCCAGTGGCTCGCTGAATGAGCGCTTCATCAAGTGCGCAGGATGCAATGTAAACGTGCCGAAAGACGATATGCTGTCGCTTGGCAAGTGTACAGTGTGTGGGCGGCCGTACGGGGCCGGGGCAAGGACGGATGGCATGAACCGCGAGATTGCGACTGTAGCGTTCAACCGCGATGGAGCTGCTGAGGTCAAGAAGAAACGGAAGCGGTGGGCGGTGCTGACGTCCAAGAGAGGACGTGTGTATTACCACAATACGGAGACGGGGGAGGACCGATGGGACCAACCTGCAGATCTGGACGCCGACGCCGTTGAAGACGCGTTCGGTACGGACTGGTGTTGGATATGATTTATGACTGGAGAAGAAGAAGAAGAGGAGGACGAGGAGGTTCTAGCTGAAGGTTTGTGTGTGTGTCTGGTTGTTGCTGTTGTTGCAGTGCCGTTCAAGAATGATGCTGTGAAGAAGGCGGTGCTGCGCGAGCAGATGAAGGTGGATGCGACGAAGAGAGGGGTGCCGATGGAGGTCGTGGCGGCTGTGCAGCAGCAGTTGCAGCATGAGGATAACGTGCACGATTCGTTTGATAGGATGGTGGAGCGTGGAGGTGGCAATAGGAGGGAGGGCGTGCCGGTTGAAGCTGCTGCGAGCTCGGTGCAAAAGGTGGTTGGATCGCCACGGATTGAGGAAGACGAAGATGTGGAGGAGCAACAGGAGGAGGTTCAGACACGGGACGCTAGTGGATCGTGCATTGTCATGTAATTGTTGTTTCGGTCGATTGCGTTATCACAATTGAGCCGCCGTGATGCCCAGAAATCATCGTCGTCCAGTTGGGAAACTCGAGGGTGGCGCTTCTGGTGTGTGAAACTTGACTGTTCGTGGTAAAGCGATTGATAATGCGATTAAGACTGGGCCTTACGTCAGTTGCGCTGCAAACGTCACAAGATTGCTTCCTGACATCTCGTATCCAGTTTCGGCCGATAGAGGTCTGCTGCACATCTAAAATGATGACAAGATCGATCCAGAGTCGGCTCCGTTAACATAAATTGGATCGAAGACGCACTACAGTCGGTCGCAGAAGTGCTGCGTTTTGCAGCGCACCCTATGAAATGTTGTTGTTTCACTATGTTTTAACCTCAGATTGATTAGAATCTCCGTCAGGTTGGCACTATCGAGCTCGCTCTGTAGCAGCTGAGCCAAAAACCAGAATGGGAATACGTCTGTGTTGGTAAATGGCTCGTCGCAGCATCATGGTATTTGTACGAAGCAGTATCGCTAATGACAATCCATTTTATCGAGAAAGAAACCGACAAAAACCGCAAGTCAACGGTGGTCTAAGTGCTGCGTGCGTTTTGAGTATCACATTGAAGGTCGCGGAGACCTCTCTACAAGCAGAGCGGTGACTTTCTTGGAAGACACCAAGCAGGGAAGGGGCATCGCGTAGGAGTTGATCATTTCAGTCCAAATGAACCTTTTGTGCAGGTGCCACATCTAACTGATGCACCCTTTACTAGTTCGCATCTGCCTTTTGGACTCCTTTCAGAATCTTGTTTTTGCCGACGGATCACTCTCACCCTCTACATGTGATGAAGCAGCTCCTAAATCGACATGCATCTCGAACATGCAGCTGTATAACCAGAACGCTCAGCTTATTCTCTTCCCTTACGAGCCATGTTTTTCTTTCTATCTCCACAGTAAATGGAGATCACCTAGCAAAACAACTCCATGTGGCTAAAGCCAATGCAAACGATGATGGGCGAGGTCTCGGCATAGGCAGCTAGCTACCGTTCAGCGCGTGACAACAAGTTGGTCAACTTTGCAGATGTTATGACCTCTCCACGCTTATCGCAATTGATCGCATCTCTTTCGGCAGATGATAGCGATGTAGCGCCGCTAAGTAAAAACCAAGATGATTCAGGCTCCATTGGTAGGATCCTGGTCTTTCATGGTTGGTGAAAGAGCTTCGCCTTGACATTGGCAAGCTTCAGGTCATTCATGAAGTACGACATAGCCCTGATATTTATCAGGGGAAAGTGTCAAGCTACTGTATACTTACAGCTTCCACCATGATCCATCCTGCACGGAATTTTATTTATTTTATTTTTATCCTTGGAAACGTCATGTCTTTAACTTTGGAAATGGGCCAAACTACCTAGGAGCCTGCAGGTAGAGAGTCAATAGTCATCAGTCTGAAACCCAGTGAGTGATCTTGGACTCGGTCTGCGATCTCATTTTGGGTCTTTTTGCCAGGGTGAAGCGTGGATGGGTCTTTTGTTTGCTGCACCTCCACGGGGTGCATGGACTCTCCGTCCAGCAGATGTATCAGTTATCAGAGGGAGCTCTGAAGTCGAATCGCAGCAGGACAGTGTGCGCTTGTTCCTCGAGCGACCTCCATTTTATCCAATCAGCGCTAGCCAATCGGTCCACTGCGGTCGCGTTGTTCTATCTTCCCACAGCGTCACGTCCGCGCTCGTCGTCGTGCTTCTCTGTCTCGCATCTCGACCAATCTTCCTCCACGCATCTCCGTATCACCACCCGCATCTCTTCCACTCCCTTCTCTTCATTCTCACGCTTCAACTGCTCGTAACCGCTGTCTAGAAGCTGAGAAAACGTCGTCGTAATGCACAACAACAGCACTTATGAGACGCCTATGACTATTTGGGCGCCACGGCCGCCAGCCTCGACTGGAGCGCCCGCGACCGCAGCCTCGTCTGCCTTATCGTTAGCTCCAGCACCTTCGTCGGCCAGCGCGTCGTGCTCGCCCTTCACCAAGAGCTCGGCGCGTTACGCCAGACGCGTCGCGATGGAAGGCAAGAGCTTGTTTACTTGCCACCAATGCGGCGCCTTGCTCAAGTTTCAGTACAGTCCCATGTCTATTGAGGAGAAGATCATGCGGCTCCGCCCCGTGGTTTACGAGCATCCAGCTGAGCAGCGAAATAGCAAGGGAGAAGAAGAGGAGGATCGACTTTCTCGACTTACAGAAGGAACAGACGCTGGAGAGACGACGGACGTGGATGAAGAAGACGAAACAGCACAGACAATTAGGTCGTCGCTAAGTCAACAGCAACAGCAGCAGCAAAAGACGTCGGCGGTGGTCCCGGAAATTGTCTGGGAACGACAACACCTGGACCTCAGCAAAGATGGGACTGTTTGGGTGCCTGCAGAGTTCGATCTCATGAATGGAATTGCAGCTTTTACGAGCTGCAATCGCGGGGATATTGGACAAAGCATTGTCGATGTCGTGCCGGCACGGCTTTTGAATAAATCGCACTTGTGGATATCGGATTGGAAGGTGGACCTTACTCTTCCACGGTGTGACGAAGAAGGATGGGTGTATGCAGCATCGTACGCTGAGTTCAGCAAGACGGAGGTGTGTTTCATGTCCGGAGAAGAGGTGGCAGACGAAGACAAACATAACAGCATTGCAGCATCGAGTGATGCGATTTTACAGGTACGTCAAAGGCGTTTGATCCGCAAGCGCCGCATTGATGGCAGCGATCTCTGCTGGTTCCAGGAGCTATTGGACTGCAGGTACGCGTGAGCAACTAACTTGTGCATGGAAAGACTGCAACTCATTGTGGTGATTGCTTCTCTAGCACGGTTCTCCTGAAGAAGAGGTTGCCAACTTGCCATGACTGCGAAGCTAAGGTAGTTTCCCGATTCACCCAGTAAGTGTGCACCTGGTCGATAGTTTGCTTTTTGTCTTCAGTAGGAGTTGATCGTTGTATACCCGTTTGCCTGCTGCAGAGCATTGCACGAACTTGAGAAAGATCACGCACAATACGAGGGTTTTATGGCTCAGTTCGTGGATGAAGAGCGAGCATCAGGACGAACGTTTTGCGATGACGTAGAGTACGATGACGACGGTGATGAGTGGCGTTCTGATCCAGAGCTTCGCGCCCTGGAGGAAGAAGAGCGGCAGCTCAAGGCTGAAATGGAGGCCATTGAGGATGAAACTGCACAGGTTGCAGCGAAGAGGCGTGAGCTTTGGTCAACCGGAATGGACCTGGAGCATTTGGTCCATGGCACGTTTGCTGAAGGAGCCTTTTTGCAGCATTTGTTGGGTTTGAGTCGCGACGAGCGCCAGTCCGTGGGTGTATTCGCCGTCCATGCCTCGGATATGCTACGCCGGCTCCAGCGTTACAACGTTTGCAACGATGTTTTCCACATTTGGCACGACGGTCTTTTTGGTACGATCAATGGCCTCCGGCTCGGTCGACTGCCGTCGAAGCCAGTAGAGTGGGTGGAAATCAATGCTGCGATAGGTCAGGCAGTGTTGTTGCTGGCAACAATTGCTGATCGCGCTGATTTTGAGTTTTCACGAAACCGCCTTGTGCCCCGAGGGAGCTACTCCCGTGTGGTCAATATGTACGGAAAGGAGTACAGCCTGTACAGCGACGGTGGCATGTTTCGCCGTCGCGGCTTCAATCAGGCCATGATTCTTTTCCTCGAGTGCGTGGAGGATGCGGGTCGTCGCGCTATGAAAGAAGAACCTTCACTCAAGTTTCCGTACAAGGTCGAGCGTGGTAAAATCGGCGGTTTGCCTATTTCACTCGGCAACGATGAACAGTGGACTCGAGCTCTCAAGTATATGCTCACGCACCTCAAATGGCTGTTGGCCTGGATATCAAAGCGCTACTGACCCAGGTGGGAACGAAAAGGATGAATGAACAACATCAGCAGGACTTTGCATCGCCAGACAAGTGCGTACGCGGTGGACAGCGCGCTGAACATGTCCGCTTCACGTTGCTTGTTCTCAGTTATTGAAAGGCTCCGTCGCCCAGAAAGCAAAAAGCGTGGTGGAGGCGTCATAAGTGTACATGTTGACTTACCTACAAGAGTTGCTGGATGGCCTTGTGGATCGCGTTAGCAGCGTGCAGTACCTCTTCCTGTGTCGTCGATCGACCAACGGACAAACGGAGCGTCCCCTTGGCAAACTCTGGAGCCACATTCATGGCCGCCAGCACATGCGAAATAGTACTGTCTTCTTCTTGATGCTCTAGGCTTTTTTCCTCTCCAGAGGTGTCATCGTAACGCTTGTGGCTATGGCACGCCGACCCAGCACTCGCACAGACGCCTTCGGCCTCAATCACTGCAAGCACACACCGTCACAACACACGGGCGACATTAGGCTCAGCACTTTGTGACAAAGTGAGTGAGGTAAGTACGCTTGTTCAACGCAGTGCAGTGCTTACAGTCCAGAAGTTGCGATGCGATGATGTTTCCAAAGCTAATGCTGAGCGTATTCGGCAGCACCAAGTCAGGGTGGCCGTTCACCTGGTAGCTGACGTTGGTCAGACTGCAGTGCTTCTGGATGTGCTCGAGGAGAGACGCTCTGCTCTCCTGCATGACAACTGCGTACTCAACAAGATGTTCTTCCACAAGCGCGCACGCCTGTCCCAGCGCTGCTACCAGTGCCACGTTCTCCGTGCCACCGCGTCGTCCACTCTCCTGCGACGCGCCGTGAATCAACGTGTCCAGCCTCGTGCCTTCACGCACGTAGAGCGCCCCCACTCCCTTGGGTGCGTACACCTTGTGCCCTGCTACTGTCAGCAAGTCCACGCCAAGCTCCTGCACGTTCACCCGGACTTTGCCAATAGCTTGACTCGCGTCCGTGTGCACGACAATGGCTCCACTTGACCCCTGGGTGGCTTCAAATTGCTGCACAACTTGGACAATCTCCGCCACCGGTTGCAATGTACCCACCTCGTTATTCGCGAGCATAACGGACACGAGACACGTCTGAGGCGTGAGCGCGGCCAGCACATTGTGCACGTGGACGCAGCCAAAGGGGTCCACTGGAACATACGTGACTTGAAATCCCTGAGTCTGTAGCCATCTGCACGTCGCCAGCACTGCAATGTGCTCCACACAAGAAGTTACAATGTGATTACGGCCGCTCAAGCGCTTGGCAGCCAGTGCTGCCCCTTTGATGGCGTAATTAATAGACTCAGTACCCCCGGATGTAAACACGATTTCGGCGGGGGGTACGGCGCCCAGCATGGACGCCACTTGGGTGCGCGCTACGGCCACCGCCTTCTTCGCTGTTTGGCCAAGAGCGTACGAAGAGGAGGCGTTGCCGAAGTGCGGGCCGAGGTGCGGCAGCAGCGCTTGCAGCACGGCAGGCTCGATGGGCGTCGTGGCGTTATGGTCGAGGTACACGCGCGTCATTTTGGGTTACGATGAGGTGTGTGTGTGTGTGTGTTTTTTTATTAACATGACTATTGAGCGACTTTTAGTTGGGGAGATAGTATCGCCAGGATGGAATAAGCGGTTATATGGTTTTTTTGTGGCACTTGGTTTTACTGGAAGGGTTGTTTAATCGACTTTGTGGGGATCGGGTTATACTTTGTGCCGGGGTACAAGCAGATCAGCTTATCCGGATGCGACTTGCCCTATTTTATGTTCCCTTATCCTCAGTCTCAGCTGACCATTTGACACGCAAATGGGAGACGTCGACCATGCAAAAGTACGTCGCATCTGAACTTGTAGCTGAAGCTCCATCAAAAACAACACCGACCGTTGCCATCGATTCCGACGCTCCAGTCTGTTCCTTCTCTTTTCTGTCTACATGTCGTGCATATCTTTCGATCGACTGACTTTCTGCAGTCTTCTTCCCAGCTCCCCACCCTTCTGGTACGTCCATGACCTTGTCACTAGTCTGCCACAATTCTTGTATTCTTCTAACACCCTTCACTGGACGCACTTGTTCCTGTAGGGAAGTGCAGCTGCTGGTATGATTGGCCGCGTCTTCTGCCATCCTTTGGATACTGTCAAAGCCCGGCTCCAAGCGAGCACATCTGCCGGACAAACCATTGGCTCCCAGCTCAGTCTTCGCACGTTCAGGTGGGTGTTGCAATGCAACTTCTTCTCTACAGGAGAGAGCCAAGAAGAGCTGACTGATGCTTGTTCTGCTCGAGCGGCTGCTGTTTTTTTTCTCGCTGCACAGTACACGGCACTTGCGAGGACTGTATCGCGGTATTGGGGTGAGCATGCTGGGCTCTGCACCTGCCACTTGTCTCTACTTGACGTCGTATGAACTCTCGAAAGACGCTCTTCAAAGTGTCGAGAGCTTCCGTGAGAATCCACCAGTGCTTTACTTGGGAGCGGGGATGATGGCCGAAGCATTGAGCTGTGTGCTGTGGGTCCCGATCGACGTCATCAAGGAACGAATGCAAGTCCAAACGAAGCCCCTCTCGGGTGCTCTGCAGCAGCAGCAGCAACTTTACTATCGCAACACCATGGACGCCTTGCAGACGATCGCGCACACGGAACGTCTTGGAAGCCTGTACAAGGGCTACCTGGCCACGCTACTCTCCTTCGGTCCCTTCTCGGCGCTCTACTTCATGTTTTACGAGAAGACCAAGGCGGTCATGCAACAACGACTCGAAATGGACGAGCTACCAGCACATTACACACTCACGAGTGCTGCACTTGCCGGGGCCACGGCGTCATTCCTCACCAATCCATTGGACCTCATCAAGCTCAGGCTTCAGGTACGCTTTGCATTTGATTCTCCTTTATCTTGTGGTAGCTGCCGATCAATAGCGACACCTCTTCACTAACGCCTGGCGTAACAAATGACAGGTTCAACGTGCTTACACCACGGACGCTGCACCTGCAGCCTATCGCGGAATTGTCGATGGTCTCACTCAAGTGATACGGTATGTACCACCACCCTGATCTTGACTCATCCGCCGTGCATAATCTTCGTGTGTAGCTTGATCGGCTCTGCGGTTGGAACGAGATAAATGCTGACTGACCACTGCGTTGTGCTGATGTTCTGACATTCCCATGAGCAGAACTGAAGGTGTCCTGGCACTGTATAAAGGAGCAGGAGCACGCATCGCCTTCCATGCTCCATCCACCGCTATCACGATGTCGCTCTTTGAAAGCTGCCGACGGGTCTTTGCTGCACTAATCGATGAATGAATGAGAAATAAAGTCACGAGACTTACTCTTGCTTTACCTGCACCTGCTTGACTCGCTTTACTGGTCTGGCAACGTCCGACAATGCTTGCATGGCCTCAGCATCTCGCGGAATTTGCGCTTGCTCATCTTTCACCAGATCCTCGCTTTTGACAGACACCAAAGCTCCATCCTTCTCAGATTGCGCTTTCGTGTTCGCATCAGGTGCAAATAGCTGCCGTATATGTTTGCTGTTGTCGCTGTCATCAATCGCGTGCCTCTGAATGACGCCAACCAGTCGAGGGACAGACTTCGCGTTGTCGTACTGAATCACTTCGGTATGTTCCAAAGCACCAAGACGATCCAACTTTCTGCGTTTCAGGCGAAGTCGAGACTCCTCAAAAGCCTCCTCCTCAGCCATCACGACGTTTTCCCACTCTTCCTGCTGCTCGCCCATGTCTTCTTGTGCCTCTTTCGAGATCTGTAATGTGTTGTACTCGACAGGAACACCGCTCGCACCTCCAGTCGCTGCATTTTTGTCAGTCCAGGCAGATACCAACAGGGGACAATCCTCGTGCAGACGCAGCTCAAGCACACAGCCAGAAGATATTCCATGCTCTTCCAGAACCATCAAGTTGGCCTCCTCACCGATCAGAGTATCGTCCCAGTATATCTGCTGATCCCATATCGACAATTGCTGCTCCGTAAGCTCTTCCATCCAGTACTTAATGTAACTGACAGTGTGGTGTGAGTGCACGAAGATCTGCAGCAGGTTTACCCTGCTGCTGCTACTGCCTTTGGTCGACAAATCATCCTCGTTTGAGCTACCTGTGGCTTCTTCAAGCTCCAACGCCACCTTGGGCAGAATCGCAACAGGTGGGGGCAGCTTCAAAAAGATGTGAAAGGACCTTGTCGCTGTTTTCTCCATTTTCGACGTCAACCGTTCATGCAAGCGCTCGCGCACCAGCGACGTTTCTCGTTCTCGATGGCCATCAGAACTCTTTTGCACATCACGCTTCTTCGACCAAGCGCAATCAGCCCAGCCATTCGAGCTTGCCAGCGACTGCTTATTCCAAGCTTTCTCGTCTGGTGGCGGCGGAGACAGTGACGACACGTTATCGGAGCGCTGGAAAGACGGATCTCCTTCCAATAAAACCCCTGTAGGCTTACCCAACGGCAGCATCACCGGTACTTCCATTTCCACAAAGCTCTCGTCACCCTGTGCATCTGAATACACGACGCGACGCGTACGCACATCCGTACCCACCTGCTCGCGTTCGTGACCATAGACTTTGCCACTCACCCAGCAAATGTAGCTGCCCTCGTGTAGCTCTTGTCGATCGCACTGCTCAAAAGTGCAGATATGAGGTGTACCGTGACGGCGACAAGCATAAATGCCCTCTTCAAGAAACTGAAACCTTCCTCGACAATCACGACTTTCACACTCTTCGAGCTTGTCAAGATGAAAGCGGGTGTACTGGTCGCCCAGAAAAATCTCCGACGATTGCAACTCACACACTGGCGCATCTTTTTCCTCGTTCAACGCTGCAAACGGCTCCCGACCTACGTCTCGCTTCACTTCTCCACGCACAGGCTGTCCACTTTGATTACCCTTAGCTGCCACGTCGAGGTGCAGTCCCTTTGTCTGCTGTTGCTGTGACATTGAATTCTGCAACTGATCAAACAACCAATTCTGGACAAGCCAATACGCTCGCATGGGACACACGCGCCAGTCCAGCTCAGCGTCGCCGGCTGCGCTTGTGCATCGTTCATCACAAGCGTGGATGTACTTATGGAACAGGCAAATATACACACGACGACGTGACGATCCGGAACACTCCAAGTCTCGGTCCATGCTCACTATTTTGCCGCATCCGTTGCCAGTGCAAGGCTCACCGGTCTCAAAGCGCAACTCCGTCGCATCAAGCGACAGCAACTTGGCCCACTCGGCAAGTCGCGCCATCACGTCCATCTTGTGCTTCACACGTGCCATCCACTCCAGCGACGCAAAGTCCGTCGACGCCTCCAGCTTCACCTGATCCTTCACAACTTCACCAACCAGCTCATGCCGCTGCAACCGCGAGCCTTCCAGCCGTTTCGCATCATAGGCTGCACGTCTCACAGGGTCTATCAGCGTCTCGTAGGCCACCCTCAGCCGTGCAAACTCGGTCACGTCTCGTAAACCGTCTACAACTTGCTCATCTGCTGGTCCTTCCCAATCCCTTTTCACCTGACCCGTCCGTCTCGACTTGTCCGGATGCACCAACAGAGCCAGCTTCCGAAACTGCCGCTTGACATCGTCCCCAGTCACATGAACCGAGCTGTCCAGAGCCAGCACCTGGTACAAATCCAGCTCCATCTTCTCCGTCTTGATCCCCGTCTTGAACTTCTTCTGCTTCTCTTCCTTCTTGTCGCCAGCTGTCACCTGCTCTTCATCGTGGTACGGATTCCAGTTACGTGCGAGCTGCTTCAGCCGCAGGTCCACCGCGTCCCAAGCTCCGCTCGTGCTGTTGTGCAATTGGCTGCATAGAGTCCGTGCGTCTCGGGGCAAAAGAGCTCCTCGCGCGGCAAGGTGCGCGATCTGCTTCTCGAGTGCATGGCGTCGGTGCTGCGACATGTCTCGACTGGCCGGTGGAGCTCGTATCTGGTACAAAAAACGGACGTGAGTGAGCGAGGTGGTGAAGTCGAACGCAAGAACTCGCACGTACGGATGGATGCAAATGGGTGACTGGGCGCTCGATGCGACAAGGCACTTGGCCAAATGGGGAACGCCAAAAGCCGTTGAGGAGCTGGTGAGGATAGAAACCCGTTGAAACCGTTCGATTGTGGGTGTATCCGATCTGACAGGAGTCGCAGCATCCACAGCCTCTCTTTTTTTATGTTTCAGCAGTCGTCGTCGTCGTCGTATCATTCTTCAAACGAGCGACTGACTGCGACATGCGCTGCCTCTATCTTAACCTAGCAATCACGTACATGGCTACATTTGCACTCGCGGACGCGGGCAATGTCTCCAAGTCCGGAGCAAACTGTGACGACAAGACGACCGGCGCGGACCCAACAGACGTGCTTGCAGGCTTTGCACTCGACAACAAGGGCGTTGCTCGCCAGGTGGAGAAGCCAAACGACGGAACCACGGGCAACAGTCGTCCAGCCTGTCTCGAGGTGGGGCTCTGGTGCAAATCAATAGGCAAGACCCTCGCTGCTGATCCGACAAACGACTGCAAATTTCCATCGTGTCCGCCAGAAACGGAGCCGCTTGGGGAGGGATCGATGTAGCAGATCACCGACATGTACGTGTCTGAGTGTCTGGAACCGCGGACGGACTTGGGAGCTCAGGCGGGAGCTCAACATGAGCATTGAGGCTCGAGGACATTTCCACAGCATGTAGTGTGCGCCATCTGCTGTGTCGCTGGTGAGCCGGTTTAATTCACTTTCACCATCTCAACATCATTCGTTGTTGCCGTGTTCTTGCTGCTGCTCGTACTGTGATCGGGGGGGGGGGCTCAACAAGTAGCCTACTTGTCAAGCGCCTGTAGTTTCTTGTCCTGGTTAATGAGGTCGATGACGTTGTCGCTGATGACGCCGTCCACTGCGTAACGCTTCTGTAGCTGCACCATCTCGTGGTTTGTGTTCTGGTCACCCCATGTCATGAGCACCGTGCCGAGGTATTTCTTCACGAGCGGTGCAAGCTCCGGCGTCTCAATGATCGCGTCCGAGTTAGACACGATACCTTGCAACTCTTCCATCTTGGCGAAATTCGTCGCGAACTGAAGTGTCATGCGCGCATCCATCGTGTGTGGTGCCATGAACCCATACGTCAGAAACAGCACGGGGTACTTTGTTTGCTTCACACGCAGGGCCACGCAGATACTCGGGTCAAAGCACGAAAAAAATATGCGACGCGAACCAGCGTGGTCAAACACACACTTCAAGATCGTGTCAACATAGGCGTTGATGGTGAAGCTGCTCAAGCTTCGCATCGCTGCATGGAAAAAGCTGTCCGGGTACTTGACTTCGATGTTCAGACCGACTTCGGCAGGAACATGCTTGAGCAAATCCTCGAGCCGAGGGAAGAATTCCACTAGATGGCCTTCTTCGGTAGCCATGGTGTCGTGCCCCGTGAAAGGTCCGTGTCTCGGAGAAAGTAGTTGCTTCTCTTTTTGTAGGCGTGCCCAGTGCTTTTTCAAACGACTTTGCAGCGTCTGGCTCTTGCTCCTCTTGTGCGGCACAGGGGACGTATGGGCATGTGTCAGCTGACGGAAGGTCATGTCATGGATGCCGATCTCGTACATCTCGGATTTCGTACCAAACGACCCAGCGCTCTTGTCTTCCAGACCAACGTTCACCATGAAATCGTGGTAAATTACGGGCACCTTGTCTTTGGTCAGTTGCACGTCAAACTCTACGAAATCGGCACCGCTCCGACCAGCCAAAATGAACGAAGCCAGTGTGTTTTCACGAGTCAACGCGAGGCGGTATCCATCGACCTGGTAGTGTGACCGTCCCATGCCTCGATGTCCGATCGTAAGAGGAGGTCGCTCGCGCCAATACGAGCGCCAAACATTCGCGATGTTGTTCTTGGGGTGGGCGAAAGGGGTCAGAACTAAGTACGCCAATGTGAGCTGACCAATGACGTCCATATTCGTGGAAAAGATCGGAACCGTTAGGTCCGAGTCCTCCTGTTTCTTGATCTGCGATGGAAGAAGAAAAGCTGATCCCAAGAGCTTCGATCTAGTGAAAGATCCCAACTGTGCATCCTCCTGACAATCGTAAACATCCAGTGTCCAGCGATGAAGGAGCCCGTCCGTATGATTTTTGCTCCCGTCAACGACATCCACAGGCACTTTGATGCAGAATACTTGGGCGTGGGTGGCATCCGTGTAATGCGCCGTTCTGTCTTCCGACAACAACGCCGCTTTGCGTCTACTGCGTGCGTAACCGTTGCGAATGGAAGTGACTTTGCTGACTCCCAGGACGGTGAGGAGCGTCTCGAGGTCCAGTACCTCGCAAACGACGTCATCCTTTGCTCTGAACAAGACTGGTTGTCGGGACCAAACACTAAAAATCCCCATCTCGTTGAACACGGAGCCCTTTGCAAGCGTTCCAAGGAGAATCGTACCCGTAGATGATTTCGGTCCCAGTAACTCTACGTCACCTGATCGCACGTAGAAAACAGCACGCTTTTGTTCGGCGTAATGTAGGATGCTTTCGCCTTTCACGTACTTCTGCGTGGCGACCTTATCCGACAAAGCCTTCATATCTGATGTCTCGACCATTTGAACACAGGCTAGTCTTGATAGCCACGACGCATCGGCAGACTCTGCGGACGGAGGTGCTGCGCTAAGGTCATTGTTCAGGTATGCTGAGATGTCGGCACCAGCCTTTTGCTGGTGTTCGTCAAAAAGCTTGCGCAGCTCCGTTGACTCTTTGTCTAGCAGAGCTGCACTTTTGACCTCCACGGGAAGTGACTCCCATGTGCCACTTGACTTGCCATTGACTAGCAGATTCGTCTGAGACCGAGGGCCGTGCGTTGCTCGATTGCCATTCATCACACGCTTTTCGTGCCGCATGTCAATCACCGCACGATCATGCTTCGGGCCAGCGTCAAACCACTGAATGGCTGGCTTGTTGAAGCTACCAACCCATACTTTCAGCTCTGCCACATCGGCTGCGGGGTCCAGCCATCCACTCTCTATATACTCGCGCAAGTCTTCTTCCACTGCTGTTGCAACACCGTGGAAACCATCGTCGACTTTAATACACAAATCACCATGTCGCGGCGTGTCGTGATCGTTTTCAGCAGTGTGCGCGAATACTTGGAGCTCAGCAAACTGCAGAGCGCATGAGACGCCAGCGCATTGCAGTCGTATGTAGCGCGCTTCAACAGGCGAAAGCTCTGCAGCTCCTTCAACATGAAAATCACCACCATTAACACTATCACCACGATGCGAATCGCGAGCAGCAAAATTCAGCGATCGAGCTCGACTACCGAACGAGTTCTGCATCTCAATGGCATGCACAGAAGACGGATCCGCCGCGGCTTTCGCTTGTGCGTCCTCAAATGAATCAGCTCCACGACCTAGCGGCTCTTTGGAGAAAAAGAGCCACAACGGAGGCGCGTGCGACGACTTGGACGTCAGCGGCGGACGGCCGCGAGGATGTTTAGCTTGTTCATGGTACGTCATGGCGTTCCACACGTGGACGCTCGAGATATCAACCAGCTTTCCCAAGTCCACTTCCCACCACGGGTTCGTCTCTCTCTCTGTCCGACAGCAGCGCCACTCTTGAAACCCGTTCGTGCTGCCATTATTGCCCAGCTCCGCGCCACGAGGTCCTGGAACTGGAGCTCGGGACGTCGTATACGTGGAACTCTGACTCGAAATAGCTCGTCTAGATAGTAGCAGCAGCAGCAGCAGTACAGAAAGCAACAAAATACCCGAGAAAGTCATGAGTCCGTCCACTTTCTGCAGCTCATTTGAGCATCCAAGATCTCCTTCTTACAATGCGACGTTCGGGCCATGGGCGATCGTGACCGTCCGGTTGCCCGGTAACCCCTCCCACGACACCAACTCGAGCGTCTGTCTGTGCTTTATAATGTACTTGTACTCGAGCGTGTTTGTAGCAGCAGAAAACGTAATAAACGCACGCCACGTGCTCTCGCTCTTCTGCTTCCCGACGAGCTCCAGAGGCACAGCTCTCGCGACGTCCCAGGCACCGAGCTCCGCTGCACTACCTAATAGACACACGACACGATCTGCTGCTGCTGCTTCGTCGAGTAAGCGCACGACAAACTCCACGGTAGCTGCTGGGAGAGACGTGTCCGCCATGTCGTCCGTCGATCAGCTGCGGGGCTCCGCTAATGCTCGATTGACAGATAATGGCACCGACTGACACGGCTCAGGCACACACGCGGCACTGATCGTTTAGTGACGGTAGCCGCCTTTTTGGTTTGTGGCACTGCAGTTCAAAAACTGACGATGCTATCGTCGATGATTGCGTCATACATGAGACGGACACCGCATCTCGCTCGCTTGCACTCTCTATGCCGCACTTCGCAATTGTAGCGGGCGAGTGCTTTGGGTGGTGTCCAAAAGCAGGTAGTACGTCACGACGAGTAGCAAATAGCGGTTGATCCTCTGATTCGATTTGACTTCGTGGACCGAGAGAACTCTGCGGGACGGAGAGGCTGGACAAAAAGCGGGTTCCTTGCAAGCGTATTGTCGCTCACATGCACTATAGAGTGTCAATCTGGTTCTTTGCATGATAGAGTCGGAGCGCTTACACGTTCCTGCCATAAAGTGCAGTCCACTTGCTGAGTGTTTCGTACGCGTTGCTTACCCGATCAAATGTCGTTGTTACAACATGAATCGACAGCGCGAGGATGCCGTCAGTCGCACGCAGTGTTACGTATTATGAGTAGAGGAGTAAAGCGAAGAGCTGATCGATGCATTAGTCGCACTTCGATCGCGTATTGTAAACGTGCGTGGGCATTCCGGTCATCTGCACCGCGTGCAATGAAGATCGTAAACCTAGCCGACTCGTGTTTCCAGACTCTTCCTCTGCAGACTTCAAACACTGTATATGGATGCTTGCTGAGAAGCTGGAAGTACGCCATGCTGGAACTTCGGCCTAGCGTAGAACAATACGTAGTTCGTGCAGTCCCCGTAGAAAACTTGCGAGGACCGAAGCTACTGTCAGGTAAAGTTTGTATCGTTATCAGACCCAACGACTCATGGGTAATCGTCAAACGGTCGAAAGGGGGAGCGAATATGAACGTCGAAGCAACGTTGATGCTAACATTTGTACAAGAGGCAGCTTCCAACTGTTGGTCATCGTTGTTCTCACCAACGCTTTTCTCCTACGCAATTGTGCAGTCGACGTTGAAAAAGCTTACGCCTGGTTGTCACACGGACGACGACAAGTAACCACTTCCGCCACAAGCTTTGGGATGTAAACGTTGGAGTGAAAGGTTGGTGTCCGATACTGCAATGCATCGGTGTCCAGCATACACAGCCGTCGTCACTGAATCACAAAGGATGTTGATCTACGAATATGTCGTTACTGAATCCGAGCTAAAGTGCATTGAGTGTCGGGGACAGCGTCGTCACGCGAAAACAGCGGCCTTACGGAAATCAAGTCCATTACAATTCGACTAGGCAAGCGACGACGCAGCAATCAATTGAGAAATGATTCTTGTGTAAAGATTCAGCAGCCCACCAAGTGGCCGTCCTCATGAAGCGATAATGTACTGCGATAGCTCCGAAACATGGACAATCTATCGTCTCCACTCACGATGTTTCTCATAGTGTCCATAGCAGAAACACGATTTCGCTTCACAAGCGCTTACTCAGCCGCCACCCTGTCGTCTAATGAAACACACATGCCTCATGACACATTTGTTCTATTCGCTTTCGCCCATGTTCCCGGAACACTATTCCTGTATCGATTTATGACAATGAAAAGGTTTGGTCATCCAGGAAGTGCTGCTCGACATCGGCAATCGATATGATGTCAATCTGATTTTGTGCGACTAGTGCTATCAACAATCGAGCATACCTGGCATCCGATCCTTTGTACCCAGTTTTGCTCACTCAAAGGTCACTCAAAGGACCCAATATCAACATAAAACCTCACGACCACCGGAACCCCTCTCTTTCGGAATAGCTCCGGCCACCACCTCGTCACAGACGCAATGCCCTCGGACTCACTTCCGAGCATGATCAACGCTCCGTCGAGCGTGACGCGCACGACAGCGACTACCACCGGCCCGCAGTGTTCGACTGACCATCCTCGTCTGTTCGTCGTGTGTGGCCGCTCGTGTCAAGTGGACGAATTGCGTGCGCTCTTCTCAACGTGCGGTCTAATTAAACACCTGCACTTGGCACTTGATCGCAGCAAAAAGTCGCGGGTAGGGTTGTGTGTGTGTGTTTTTCGTGACTTGTTGTTTGTATTGCATTGGGATATTCGTGGTGGTCAGATTGGGTGGTTGGGTATTTGGTGTGGCACCAATGTGTCAAATAGGGTTTTGCGTTTCTACAGTACGAAGACCCGGAAGATGCGTTTGCAGCGATTGATACACTGGACCACAGAAAGTTGGGTGACGGACACATTCTCAAGGTAATGCCGACAGGTGCTGGAGATGCATGTCTCGTTTTTGTCGAGTGAGCTGGATGGTGATGACGAGTGCTTTTTTTTCGATCTTCTTGTAGGTGACAATTGCCAAGGAGCGACCAGTGAGCGGCAATGGCAAAGTAAAGCGTGACCAGCATGCGCGAGTGGACCTGGATGAGAAGATAGAAGGGGTGCGTCAACAAGAAGACGACGGCGGTATTGAGGCGAGACTGCCTGGGAAGCGACAGCGGTCGAGTCCGCCTGTTGTAGCTCTTCCATTGGGGTCGAGTCGTGCTACACCAGGCTTGGACAATCAACGACTTAGAATATGCCAACTCGGTACTGTAAATGCAACGAACGAAAAGGCAGAAACGAGCGTAGCGAGGGAGAAAGATGTGCTGGCTGCGGATGTTTGCAAGGATGAGTTGGTGGGGCCTCAGGAAGACCAGGTGCAAGTGGAGCAAGTGATGTGCGCAATGCTTGTCGCGGTGGAGAAGCGTGAGGTACTCAATGAAACGAATGACGATCTGCTTGCTATGTACCTCCGAGTGGGATCAACACTCGACCAAGTAAAGCAACAAACGAAGGGTGAAAACCGCAAAATTGTACGGCCCGGATCGAATGAAGTATCTAAAGAAGGAAAAAGCACGAGCACGCTAGCACATAGTGTTCGGTCAGGACCACTCGTACCGACACCGATGAAGATTCATAAGGTTTCGTCCGATGCGATGCAACGTGCAGATGGTGTAGCGACACGAAATGGTGGTGCAATGCCGCTTCATCATGTAAAGCAACACCTCCGCAGGCGTCGACAGAGTTTAGAAATCGCTGGATCAAGTACAGAAGACACGTCCGACGGTAGTGGCATCCGGCGCAAACGGAGCAATACGACGACGTCGCCGTTGCCGACTCAAACCGCTCATGTGCATACCAAATTCAAAGCGTTGCCTCCCGTAGAAAAGCTCTCCGATCGCAGTGACGTTGGCTTGCCACCTGACGCAACGAATGCCAAAGTAACACTGAAAAAGCTGTGTAAGCGACAGTCTTCGGAGAATGGAATTGAAGAGCTGTACCGATCAACGAAGCAGCGGGCAACTGAGGATAGACGTGACCATGATAGCTTCGTAGTAGATCGAAGGCAAGATGGGCCCGCTGCAATCAAGTTAGAGAAGAGCTGTGTACACGATCGAAGCGTAAAGCTCGAGTCCGAATCGAAGCCAGCTGAGCCGGTGCACACCAAGCTCTTTTTCACGTCAACGTACAAGGTACTGCCACGTTTTTCTACCATAGGTTGCTGTTTTTGGAATTTGCCTCAGACGTTGTTTACTTGATGCAGTTCACGGATCAAGAAGTGGAAGCAATGTTCAGTGTGTATGGCGATTTTGAATCCGCAGAACTTGTCCGAAGTTTTGGCCGCGTGAGAACCATGGCTTACATCATTTATTCCAAGGTAATGTTGTTGCTGCTAGAAACCTTCGGTCCGCGCTCGCTTAATGAGCCCGTCTGACGTACATGTCTGCTTTTAACAGCCCAGCACAGCAGCGTTCGTTGTCAAATCTTTCAAAGAGGAATCGTCACAGGGCGACGAAGACCCGGAACGGCCTGAGTTCATGACGGTACGTGGACAAATCTGCTCGGACAAGGCGTTGGTATGCTAATGACAAGACATGTGTTGCTTCTTCCTAGTTATCATTTGCACACGATACTGGCTTGCAGCAGCATGAGAAACCAGCACAATTTCACGCTGGAACGGCAAGGAAATGCACTTCTACCTCGCAGTCCAGTCATCCGCTGGCAAAAAAGCCTGAGCCACCCATATCAGCAATCCTTCCGTTAGCTGGAAAAGATCGCCTTTGGGTATTTTTGATGTACGACCGGTTTCTGACGACTCACATGCTTTCGTCGGTGGTGTCATCATTATCGGGGATGGAGTTTATGGACATTAAGGTTGCCAAGAGTACTGGCGAAACACAAGGGATAGCTTTCGTAAAGTTCGACAGTGATACGAATGCTACGCAGGCGGCGTATCAGCTCCATCAACTCGAGTTGCCGCTTGGCTCAGGCAAGTTCTTACAGGCAATTGCAGTCCAGGCACCGAGTCTGTTTAGCCCAAGTCATGAAAGCAACTCGACCAGCACTCAGCGTCTCGAGCGTACTGCAATTGAACGAGCTATGCTGAGATCATTTGAAGATACAGATTTGCGCGTCGTTGAAGCACGTTTTGCGCATTTAATGCGAAGCACGGAGCACTCGGGCGCAGGAGAAGATCAGCATTTTCATCATTATTCGCGCATCCCTTCCCCTGGAGATGCGACAATGGGCAATCAGCAATCACCAATGGTAGCGGGCGTGTACACGCATTCAGATGGATTTCATTTGGGCTCGTCTGCAGGTCTCGAATACCATCCGATGCAGCTCCCGGTGTATCCCTCTCCACCCCCACATCAATATTTTCACCCTTATGCAAGTTTGGGGCCAGGGCACTGGCAACAACTGGCCCAGCAACAAGGATTTGGAGGAAACGCACCTGGGTGGACGGAAACTGCACCTTATTATCAAGATGGAACCCAGCAGTATCCCTTTGCGTGCACCCCGGATCAAGAACTGACGTTTTCCGTCCATCATGACAGTAACAATATGAGACGTGTAGAGGACTCAATTGCTACCCCTCTCAAACCGCGCTACTCGCGTGCCTTGTCAGAGCAAGTGGGTGTCGAAGGCACCAACAGCAAATGCAGCAACTATACATCCAGATCCATCCACGTGTCGACCAGTGAGCCGTTAGAGCTTGTCTCTTTAGTTAGTGCACTACAAGAGTGCCCCGGGTTAGTGTCATTCGCCAAGAGCGTTGGCGCCGAGTCCGACCGGATGAGCTATACTGTGGATTTCTCAAACGAGGCGCAGGCCTCGGAAGCTCTGTGCAAATTGGATGGTACATTGTGTCGAGGCCAAAAGCTTCGCGTTACAAAACACACGCCAACGAGACATCGAGGGACTGGTGGTGGAGGAAAACCTCGCTCTGGCTCTGGACGTCGGAAGCGGCAGCGAGTTGATCCACGGAATCGGAAATGAACATAATGCAAAACGTGAACACGTTTTGTTTGATGCCACAATGCGGTTGGGGATGTAGCTCGGTCATCGAGGAAATATGGCAACGGCGTATGGTTGAGGTGTTTACGCCTGTGTGGCAAAGAACAGTGCACGTCTATTGTCTCGAAGAGTCCCGTTTGGCTGCTCGAGCATGCGTGTCTTGCAGCAATCCACTCGCCTGAAGCGTTCTATCTGAACGCTCGTTCTCCATTACAACGATCGGCGTCTGCTCCCGAACTTGACGTCAGCTTGGATGGAAAAACGCAATACGCAAGCACGGATTTGACTGTCATCGGTCGACGTTGTATTGCCGCTGAAAGGTTTACGCTACACTTTTGCTCGTGCTTTTACGAGAATTCACGATCAGGAAACACCGCAGGCGCTACCAGAGTCCAAAGGAATAGCCCTGATGCCACCCACTGCGAAATCGCTTTGACCCACATACTGAAGACTGCGTCATCACTTGACGAAGACCTACAAAGACAAGAGCGTGAGTGTTTCTTACAGCATTGACAGTCATTCATCCATTCGCACCCGTCGAAGCTTCCCCAGTTCGTAAGAACCATCGCCATGTAAAGCGATGCCAGCACCATCAGTACGTGGAACTGGTATTCTGCCACCTCGCGAGAATCATCGCTGGCCAAGCGACCAGGTGTCAAGCCGACGCTCGCTAGCTCTTCGCCATGTTTTCCAGCAGGGTTGTCGTCACGAAGCTTATGAGCAGGCGACGAGCTGAGAAAGATTGTACTGGTTGCTGATGTTTGCCAGCTCGTCCAGGTAACAGTGAACGCTGCAATCAACGAGTTCACAATCATGCCCGGTAGTTCCTGAGCCTTCTCTTTGGCTAACGAAGGCACTGGTGCACAGGACGCACTTGGATTTGCTCGAAGTGCCTGGTAGCACAATAGCAAGAGGTAAAGGGAGACCGTGGTTGATGGCAAAAGCCCCACGTTTGCTCCCGTCACGACTGCAGCAAATGACGGTATCAGCATGGTTTATACAGAACCACCACGCAGCATTTACACTTACCACTCAACACAATCAGGATGATCACCGACAGCAGTGTGATCGAGATGAAGACAACGTCGATGTCGCACTCGCCGTAGTGCAGGTACATCATTGGAATCCCTATGATCAGGAGCACCATTCCGACGGACACCAGTGCGAGGTACGCTCCTTTCCTGATGTTGCATTGTCGTAACAACCTGTCATGACTTATGTCCAGCACGTCTTCCGCTCATCATCAGGTTTTACTCACCACATCGCCGTTGTCATGCTGCTTCCTTGCGTTGAGCCAGTGCCAGTGCCAAGCAATGCTTCTCGAGTATCCTCTTCACGGTCTGCCTCGTCCATCTTGTCGAGAATGTAGTCCCGCAGGCTATCTGAATCGATCACAAGACCGTAGGAAGCAGAAGCATCTCAAGGTCGAAGACACTGACGTACAACTCGAGTCTACGATGATAACGAGCTGCAGGATGACAAAGAGGGCCGACGACATGCGCGCAATGACCACATAACCGACGAAAAAAGCTGCAGCAATGAGTGGTGGCAAACAAATTCTCACACGTGAGAACAGAGCCAGCAGTACGTGCCATCTCAACCCGAGTCAACCGCAACAATGGTAGCACCCTTACCGTTGGGCATCAAGAGCGACACCGCGAGCAGCCCCAGGTAGAACGGCAGCTGGAAGAGCAGAAGACAGCATATGCTGTCACACTTTTTACTGGCCACGGTGCAGCTGAGTAGCGCCGCGACCACGAAGAAGGAGCTCAAGCTGAAGCTGATGCGGTACACCAGTTGATTGCCCACGCAGTTGGTCACAAAGAGCGCATCAATGCACGCGTCAAAGGCATTGAGTTTGGCCAGGACATCTGCAGGAACTTCTAGTTAGTACGTGAGGGAGGGTCTGCAGGTCACAGAGTCCAGAGCGACAGAAAGCCGAGAGAGTAACACCAAGATCGGTTTGCAGTATACCCTGGCCGAATGTTTGCAGTAAACCAGCAGCTGCGGCATTTACGAAGAAGAGGGCGACGTGACCGAGTCGCATCATGCTGGAGAAGGTAGAAGATGTACCCACTTGTGATGATTTCGGTCCAGTGCGACGGACAGTAAACGTTGGATAGGTCAGTAGTACGTGGGACGGGCCTTGAGCTCTGCAAAGTGCGACTTCTGACGATCAACTTGACTGTGGATTGTTTAGGTGGAAGCAGCGTAATCAGTGCAGAGAAAGGAGGTGTGTGAATTTTCGATGTCGATTCTCTATTATGGTGACGATGATGATGGAGTATACGGGCTTTTATCAGACTAACACCAGCTTGACGACGTGAGGCGTCTCGCTCTTTTGGTGCAAATAGTGGCAGCAGTTCATCTTTGGTGCTCACTGATCAGCTACATGGAGATGTGGCCTTGCAGGCTGGAAACTAAAATGATACACATGTGCGCGGATCAGTTCATCCTGTAAGGATCGACGGCAAGAAGTGAGGATGTGGCTCAATGTGGTGCTACTATGCGACTCACCTGGACAACCGCAATATTCAAGGTCACATCTAGATGTACACGCGCAGCTTTTCATCTCTAGCTTGATCTAAAAGCACTTTTCCTTGTACTCGATCGAAATGACACCCGCCCCCCTAGCATTTCGCCTCAAACCCGACTACTTCTTGCTTTTTCTATCTCGCACACTCGTCCCCTTCCGCACGTTTCTAAATGATCCAAGTCGCACGTAAAAACGGTATAGAAACGGTATTCTGCCAATCGACCATGGAGCCACCTGCGCGCAAGAATGGGCACCAGACGCTCTCGCACTTGCTCGCTCTTGCGTACCACGTGCTGGACGAGGCCAAGCACGTGAACCTCAAGCCGCCGCTGCGCTCGAGTCTCAGTGCGTTCGCTGCTGACGTGAACGCGCCCGGGTCGCCGCCGTCCGAAGCGGAGACGGCGCAAGACGAGGCGCTCCCGGAGCTGACGAGTGGACTGGCTCTCGGGTTTGGAGGCGGTCCGAGTCACCCGGTTGTGGTGCCGTTTGCGCAGGAGGAGATCCAAGACACGTACACGAGGATGGCGGCGCTCAAGACGCAGTACGTGAAGCTCAGCGGGGAGCTCCTGGAAGCTGTGAAGGAGCTGGAGAAGAAGAAGAGCGGGGGGGTCCGGGACAAGGACGAGGTGGGTGTAGAGTGATGGGTTTTGGGTGGATGGGTGGATGGTTGTTACTGGGTTTTTTAGGTGTGGCTGACGGCTGTGGGTGGTGTAGGAGGCGGTGGTGGCTGCACTTGTGACCAGGAGGGATCGATTGCGCAAGGTGAGAGGGAGAGAGGAGGGGGGGAGATATTGTGGTGGTGGTTGTATTGATGATGATGATGAGTGGTGGTGGTGATGGAGTGATAGGAGGTTTATGAGCGGAATGTGGTGATGAAGGGGCTGATTGATCGACTGCGTCATCTGCAGCACTCAATCAGGCTGATGCAGGGTGGCAGTGCGTACCCACCTCGCGTCGTCATGGAGAGTGTTTGAGCTGGAGTCATGGCACTTTGTGCGTGGTCCCCAACGTCTTCACTTGATGTAGTATCAGCAGTGTTGTCAGCAAAATGGAATGATGCCACTGGCGGGTCTTGCCGGACTGACATGCGAGCGGATGGATGGATGCTGGCTAGCGGTTGCCTGTACATCTAAGGCTGTATGGTGTTTGCTGGAACGAAGACGGTGGGCACTGCACGATCTTGTTTCCATCCCGTGTTAGTGCGCTGCGGCGTGCGTCGTAGCCCTCTTTCAAGTCTTTCGCTCACGCTTGCACCGCCGAGAGTTCCTGATTTGCAATGCCCGCTTCTTCGGCAGATATAGTACACAAAGTAATAGAACGGGTTGCGTAAAATGCAGCGGAGACTACGCAGTGTTGATCTATCGTATGTTGTTGGTACGATCATTAGGCGCATTCCAGCTGTAGCGAATTTCCAAAAGTTTGCAGTCTGACGACACATAGACGTGAAGCGTGAAGCGTGAGGTATCGGAATCTTACGACTAGGTTCGCGTACAAAGAATGCACTTGAAGTCGCACGTGGGTTGGCGCAGGAATTCGCAGCACTAGGTCAAGTGCCCTCATTGTAATACAGTCTCCAATCTAAAGCCACCTTTGTACACCCCCTTGGATCTCTCGATCAGAAAATGCTCGGATTGCACACCGTGTCATATTCCCATTCATGTATGGCGTCACCTGGTCGTCAAATGCTTGGCCAGTATTTGGTCCAAGATATACCAATAGCAAACGACACTGGTCTCACCAAAGTTGCAACACATCCCTTACACTAACCTATTGGTGCTCATGAGCGTATTGGGTGCAATAGAATCGTTCGGGCTGTCAATTTTAGCAGTTTTGCAGTCGCAGACAGCAAGACCATAGTTTGGTCTGTAGTTGACATTGTGGAGGTCAAGAGGAATGTGCAGAAGCAAAGCAGGCCTTACAACAGCCGCAAGTAAACTGCAGCTGCACCTTATAATCGAACACGGTACTGTAAAGCAACAAGACACACGTATTGCGATTGGGGTAGAAACCACCGCCTTTCGAATCAATACTTCCTTGACAGGGAGCAGTTACGTCTGTTGTCCTTGATAAGGATCTTGGCCATTGTTCCAGAGGCGATAAGCCATTTGCGATGGGCTCGTTTGACCGGTCTAGGTCATGATCAATAGGACAACTTTCAACTTGCTTATGGAGAAATGCCCGCCACAAGCCAATCGTCATACTCCCACAATTGCTGCAATTTCCAGTCCGATGCAACGGTTGCCACCAAGAACGTTGTTGACGCGATGCAATTTCGATCACTATCTCATGCCAAGTGATGGCCAGGGTAGATGATACTCTTCTTCGCCTACTGCAGCTCGGCAGCGGTCTCGTCCGATTCGTACACACACTCCCTCCTTCACGTTTTTGTACATCGCTCACTCACTCACTCACACACCCCTCACGTTTCATCCACTTTGTCTTTAATGAAAACGAATGCTTACAAGTCTTGTTCAACCTCATTGCACTCCGAGTTTGAGTTTTTGCTCAGTGTGTTCGCTCCCATAGACCCCTGACCAAAGTTTACAGTTTCCATTACATAGCGCTTTCGCGTGTTTGCGCTTGTGTCTGTCCCATCTATCAGGAAATACAAACATCTCCATACGCTTTCGTGTGGTTTGTTTGGTCGACTACCTTGGAACGAGAAATGATCTACGTGGCAGCTAGCTGACTCGGCCTCTCCGTGAGCAACTTATGTAGATGCGGAGAGAAGCGACAGCAGACGACGGTAGTAAGCTGATGCAAAAGAGAGGTAGAGCCTAAAATATGTCGTCCTCTGTCATGTGCGTAATATCTAGTTGAGACGGCCATCTACATAGTGGACATGGAATTGTGGCTGAGATGAGGAGATGTGATTGCTGGTTAGCCGAGTGGCGGGAGAGTTGACTTGCCTAAGGAATATGTGGACAGTCGGCTACGACCTGGGATGGATGGGTCTCGTACGGCTGCCCACTTGAAGCCTTTTCAATTCGAAAACACCTATTACGTCGACTTGCCCAAATGTAAGCTGACACATACGCAGTGCCACAACGAGAGACGTGTTCAGCGAAAGAGCAAGCTGTAGATATGACATGGTAGCAGGTTATGATACTAACAAGGCCATGGGTTCGGAGACTGCTGTTGATACTCGGACACGAACGTATTCGACCAGTGGTTAACGTCTTGATCGGGTACCACGCTCAGCGTATGCCAGCGAACAAAACCTCACCACAAGGCGCTACATTACATGCCTACACGTCATTATGTTAACGACCAAGCAACCAATGCAGCACACAACAACGGGGCAATCAATCAATGCAAAAGCTAGAGACTTCTATGCTGGTTCATAGAGTACACTGGGGAATCAAATGCGTGAAGGTGTGAGCAATTGTTATCGCCGTTCCCTGCGAATAGCTCTGGATGTCACTGAAATAAAGATGTGATACTAGCAACATCCGGACCAATCGACAGGTCAGCCGCTTTCGATCCGACATAAGTCAACAACCCCGATAGCATTTGCAAGTTTTTACTTACATCCCAATATTTGCCATGCCATCGAGAGTGGTGGCCAGCTCATCTTGTACATCTCTGTACGTAGCATCTGATGTCGAAGTGGCTTACCCTCCTTGTTAAATAAGAGTGCCATAAACGTCGAGCTGCCAAACAAGCCACTGGCCTTAGTTTATGAGAGCTTGCTGCTGAAATACTCTGCGGGTACTCACTTCACCCTTGAGTTCGTGGAGGCGAATCTTGTAACCGGAAGGTCGACCTCGACTTAAAAACTATGGAAGAGACTAAACTTACCTGACTAACAAGCGCTGCTAATATGCATGATGTCCTAGTGTCCTTGCATGTTTAAGCGCACGCTGTCTTCATGCAAATCAAGCGAATCCTAGTTCTCTGCTTTGTATACGCGTGCGTTCGTAGAATCGGTCCCGTGTTTATTTCCCAGTAAACATTCTGCATTTACGACGCGCCCGCTGCATCAGCAATGTTACACAATTTTTGCTTACACAAGACTGTGTTGTAGGTCTTGACTTATGGTGTGAGCTGATGCCGTTGCCTTCCTGGCAGCATCCTCTTTTCCAGTCCACTTAGGGATAGCGTCCAGTAGTAGACCTTTGAGTCACTTCAATCGGGGAATCGCTTGTGTCCCCCCGTTATCCGCTTCTGAGGATTGGACAGGCCTGTTCGATCGCACTCCCTTCTCGCATCCATTTGTAACCAGTTTTGGCATCCAATTACCATTTCAGTATTCGGAAGCGCTTTACCAGCTCTCGTGAAATGCCCCATAGTCGTGATGTATCATAATGATAGACTCGGCCTGTGGCTGGCAGTGGAGCTCAAGTCTTAAAAGAAAAGTGGAGAATGAACTTATCGAGTAAAATGGATCATGATATGAAGGGTAGGCTACTCTGGTGCAATTGAAAGTTAAACAATTCCGGTGCAATCGTTTCTTCTGGTGCCGTCGTTTCTGGGGGGAAGAAAAAGGAAAAAAAGAAAAAGGAAAAAAGATAATATTTGGATACCTCCCCCTCCCCCCCCTCTAGTTGTCCCCCACCCTCTCCTCCTTTCCTCCTTCCGTAATCGCCAGCCCCCGCACCACTACTTATAGGAAAGAAAAGAGAAAAGAACAGCCACCCCCCCTCCTCACTCCCCATCCGCCCGTCCCAATTTTTATGGGGGGGGGTGGGTATCAACAAACAACCCAAAATAAAAAAGAGGGGGGGGGGCGGCCGGGCGGGGGGGGGGGGCGCCCCCCCCCCCAACCCGAAGGAGATACCTTTATTTCTTTCTGGGGCCGGAGACCGGCCCCTCCCCTCCGGGGGGGGCGCCCCCCCCCCACCCCCCAGAGCCCCGGGCCTCCTCACAAAACCCCCCCGCCGAGGCGTTTGTTTTGCAACAGTTTCTTCGGGTGCAATCATCTTGTGGTGTTCTCGCAGGTCATCCGAAATACTATCCATGTCAGCGGTCCACTCAATCACCTATCTATATCGGCAGGCCGCTCACTTGCTACTGCATTTCACCTCGAATACAGTGAGTGGTCACCAGGAACAATGGCCTTCCTGGCAAAACTAGGATGAATAAACGAGCATGTATCGGCTCGCTTTGTATGGGAAACGCATAGTCCTACCGAATGCATAACGGGGGTTTTAATGTGTGAGCGTTGTAAATATACATGATATGCTAACGGGAAAACCTTGTACGCCATATGTGGAAGCGATTGCACCCACATCGACCAATGCGCGGAGAAAACACTCTGCAAGATGCATACCTAGCACTTTGGTGTTATGATTTGGCAGGTATGACGCAACTAGCAGATTCGAGAAAGGCTGGAGATCTGTGACGAGATAGGCTACACACATGACGTCGAGCGAGCGCAGCCGTTGTGGGCGCATATGCGAGCGCAAATGTAAAATGATGCGGTCTCAGGTAGGGTCATCACAACGCTTGTCGGAATGCGCGACCTGCTGTCATAATAGTGCTGATTACAATGAAAAAAGGCAATTCAACGATCATTGACAAACAACTTAAACTGAAGGCCTTCTTTCGTTGCTGGAAGGTTACAAACCGTGATATTTGTCAGCTATCGAATCTTCGAGCAGCACCCAACGAATCTTCCATGCGAGGATGTTCATCTCTTCGTACTGGAGAGGCGAATACAAGCCACGCAAAATTCCTAGCAGTTGAGCTGCTTGCTCCTTCCGGCCTGGTTGTTCTTCAAGAAAGAGAAGATAAGCGTGAGCTTCTGGCGCAGGTTTGGAATGAAGCAGTAGACCAACTACTTTCTCGTCATCAAAGCTATGATGAACTCGGTAGACGTCCACGAACTTGAACAACTGATTGAGTTTCTTGATAATGTCGACTAGCGGTATCTTGTCCATCATAGTAGCGAAAAAATTGTGACCCTCCGATGCAGCGTGCATGTTAACCGGTGCTAATTTGACCGTCGTATCATCAATCATTACGACACTCAACGATGCAATGGGCAGTGACTGGTACACGTCTTGAGGACTCATGCCCGAATTTGCCCACACATCAAACATCAGTGTTTCAATCGTAGCCGGGTGCTTGGCAAGCAATAACTGCTGCATCTTCGAACCAAAGATGTGCATACCTTTCTCGACGCGAAGATATTCAAGGAACTCTACCAGGTATTCTGGTTCACTGTGTTTCACGAGAGGCTCGAGCACCGCATGTGCGAGATTTTGAAGTACCGAATCGTCGACCATCTCCCTATCCCAACGCCTTTGGCGCTGCCCAGCACGTACGTGACTTCTAAACTCCCAAGTGTACACCATCCACTGCTCGAACTTGCGATGCATCTCGGGCCACCTCTCGCGGTCATTAACGCCACGTGTACGAATCTCCTCCGCGATGGGCATCATGAAGAAGACTTGTTCCGGATCCACCTCAGCCCGCAGACACATATCCATGATCAGCCGTACATTGTCTGGCTTCTTCTCAGCAAGAGCGCTTTGCAATCTGTCAGCGAGCCGCTTCAAATGATCGAACTTTCGCACCCGAAATAAAAATGCTACCAGCTTGTCTTCTCCTCTGACTCTCGCGAGCACGTTGATCGCATCATGGACACTATAGTCTTTATGTGTTTCGGCGTATGCTTTAATGTACTCAAACCATGGCATGATCTCGTGATAAATAGCAACCATTTCAGCTTCCACCTGCGCTTCAGCTGGATCGGCCAGGTGGACTGGGCGTACAAAAGTCGAAAGCTGGTACATATGAGCCAGAGACTCGACTGCTTTCAAAGGCGGTGGTGAGTTGCCACCCCTCTCTTGCTCCACGTCCGACCGGACGTGGCCGATCTCGATTTTCCTCCAGATCGTGAATTCCCAAGGGTCTTGGCGTGTCAGGAGTGTCCACCTCCAGCAGAGGAGGAGGAGGAGGAGCAGACTGGTCATGAGGGACACTAGTGGTGTGTTTACTGTTCGTTGAAGTCGTGGCTTTTGCAGCTACCGAGAGAAAAATGATAGAAGCTGTCAACGAAGGTGGAAGAAGGCGCATGGGTGGCTGTCGTGCACTTTACAAAGTGAACGTACGAGGGTGCAAGTCACTTCGGACGTAAATTCTGGACCACTAAAATTAGGGAACGGTGTAAACAGTATCCTTTGAACGACAACTGGAGTAAATCGCAAATCCAGCTCTAGATGAATGCAAACATTGCAAAACCCGCACCAATTCAGCACGAAATAAATGTGTACCACGCTAAATTACGCTTTCCATTTCTTTATCCTTTCATTCTTCAATTTGGAGAAGCCAGTCAAGACGATCCGCCCCCCCTCTCATGGCCACCCACTTTCGGCGGGTGTCGTCTCTAGCTCGACCCGAACCCTCTAAGGGGGGATGTCGTGCAGGCTTCGGTCGCTGTTTATGCAAAAGAAAGATCGGGAGGGGGCGAAGCACAGAAAATGACGGCAAGGTGCCAAATGCTGTAACTAGGATTTTATTAACATTGACGACCGTAACATGTCACTGTGCGACATTCGTTTGTAATTAGATTCAGGTCATGCGCGATAGGATTCGAATGTATTGAAGCCAAAGGTCCTGCACATATGAGACCTTACTGGTGTGGTATGCTGTCGTTACTGTTCTCACTGTGACGATAGTGTAACGGGGTGAATCGTTACATAACAATTTATAAGAAATTGTTAATAGAATATAACTATAAGAGTTATATTCTCAGAATATTGTCATAAGGACAAATATTCTGTAGCACTTACAAGTAGTTCCTAATTGGTTGATATAGGCCATTATATCAACCAACGAAGACGCGCCACGACAGACGCACGCAATGAGTGGTGAGCAGATAATTGATTTACACATTTGTATTTAGACATAGTTAGATGAAGATAAATAGTGATTTATTGCAGACATTAACTATTATAAATACAGTTCTACTTTTTACTCTAACCAAGTACTCGCTTCTTCTTACCGTCTTCCTCTGCACGTACCAGTGTACGTGAAGATACGAGGCACCGCCTTATTCTGTTATCAGAATAAGTAGCTTGTACTGTCACCAGTACAAGCTTCAGGGTGCCCCGTTACACCTGGTAGCACTTCGTAGTCCGTCCAAGGACCGCGTTCACATCCAACATGAATATGTTGGATGATGAAGATGACCAAAGCTTTCACGCTACGCGTGACGGCTACTCCCATTTGAGCGATGTCGAATGGGATGCGGTTGAACGAATGGGTTCGACCATGGGCATCCATGCTGTTAGCGTCATGCTAGAGGCTCTCAATAGAGACGCCCAACATGCTACTATCGCCAAGTTCATCCAAAATGAACTTGACGCTGAACGCGAGAAAGTAGCCTTGCTTCACCAACAAGGTTCTCAACAAGCAGAGTTGTTGAGAGAACAAGGTGCTCAACAGTTTGAACTGTTGAGACAGCAGCAGGCTGCTGCTGGCGGGTCGATGCACTCGCGTCGGCCCGAGACTTTGAAGATTGACATCTCAAAGTATAGAGGGGTCGAAGAAGACTCCCTCTTGAGATGGTTCGTCGAATTGGATGACGCCATAAGGGCGCGTCGCATCGACGACGGGGATATGCAAGTTGCATTTGCCCAATCAAATCTGGCAGGACGTGCCAAGACTTGGGCACTGGGGCTCAAGCTGCACGACCCATATGCGTTTGGGTCGTTGGAAGTCTTCAAGTCGCGGCTCAGACAAACGTTTGAACCGCCTAGAGCTGAGTTCAGGGCTCGAACCGAACTCTTGAAGCTCAAGCAGGGTAAGCGTGATGTGCACGCTTACGCTCAACATATACGACATCTCACGAGTTGTATAAGTTCCAATCCAGTGGATGAACACACGTTGGTTTCGGTGTTCATGCAGGGTCTTGCGGATGGTCCCGTCAAGACTCACCTGTTCCGGCTTGAACTAGATTCACTAGAACAAGCCATTTCCATTGCGGAGCAGGAAGACTTCAGTCTGAGACAGGCTCGCGCCAGCTCGACATCATATCGTCAACCGAGACGATATGACAACGGAGGTCCAGAGCCGATGGAACTCTGTTATGTAGAGAGCGAGAAGGTTCGCTCTACAGGCTACAAGAAGTTGCAGAGATGCAACAGATGTCAAAAGACAGGACACTACGCTTACGAGTGTAGTGCCCCTCGTCCAGTGTCTCGCGACACTGGGCGTAGTGACCGTCCACCCATGAGAAAGGGGCAGGGACGAGGGTCCGCAGTTGGTGCAAAGACGCAACAACGGGATGGACCGTCAAAAAACGGACAGGATCAGTAGGTGCGGAGCACCCTACTGATCCAGCAACGTCAAGAGAATTTGTAGGCCTCTTGATGAAGGTTGCTCCCAACACACAGACGTTGTGCGTTGCTGCTCTAGGTAATGAGATCTCACTCATTACCTTGAAACTCGAAGTGACGAATAAGTTGTCCCTTCGAGCTCTAGTCGATTGTGGGGCGTCTAACAATTTTGTGCGACGCCAATCGCTAGAAGATGGTCACTTTAAATTCAGTGAATGTGACACACCTCCCACGAGGATGACGGTACGTCTTGCGACAGGCGCATCCGTAACCGTCATGAAGCGTATAGTGAAGATTCGCTATACGCTAGAAGATACCCAATATGACGATGACTTTATCGTATTGGATTTGGATGACAAATTTGATGTCATCCTTGGAATACCGTGGCTCAGAAGGTACGAACCACGGGTAAACTGGCAACATCGGACAGTAACGATGCCTGCCGCTTGTTCATCAGATGGCCATCTGATGAACGTTTTGGAGCGTCCACAAGCGTGTGGATGTACTACGAGTGAGTGCGATGGCCTCACTTGTGGTACGGTCGTTAGTACGACTGCACAAAACCTTAGTGTACCAAACGGTTACACTTCGGAGCAAAGTTCCGGCGGCTGTGAGGAAACACAGGCTGCGCCGAAGGTCCACCACTCGAATAAGTCGGGTGGACTGGGACAAAGATGTATCCCTAGAGGGGAACATCTAGAAGAGAAACAATCGATCGCTCAGGTTAAGCGAAACGATAATCCTAGATCGACTGGAGAGTCTTTCGTAGAGGATCTCGCTGTGGTTGCGCAACCCCAGCTAGAGGAAGTAAAGGGAATAAGTCCCAAGATTACAAATACGGCGGAAATAAGTTCCCCGAAACCCGCGGGAATAAGTCCCCGGGAAGACGAAGGAATAAGTCCTTCGAAGCCTGAGGGAATAAGTCCCCAGGAAATGACAGAGACATTGAATGTCATAGTCAATAACGGATCATGTGTAGGCGCTTATACACTTGATCTGATTGCGCCTCCGAAGTTAACTTCGGAGATCACTCAGTTGCCAACGCTCGAACATAAAAGGTTCTTGCGTGATCTGCGTAGTGGCAAAGTCAAGCAGATCTGCATACTCGTCGCTGACGACGAGTGTGTAACCGACATAAGGTCAGCAACAGTGTTTACTGAGAACGAGAGAGTTCTCAGTAGTTCATCTATGGACGAGAGTGTCCTAGATGAAAAGACACGAATTGAGCGATATGAGTCCCAATCATGGGAATCGCTCAAGGAAAATCCTCTCTATGAAGATTTGGTTGAATTCAAGGATGTATTCCCTGAAACTGTTCCGTGCGAATTACCGAAGGATAAAGGTATTCGACACGAAGTCGAGCTTAAACCAGGCTCGAAGTACTGTGTCATGAAGCAGTGGCCACTGCCTCGTGAACAAGTACTTGCGATCGACAAGTTCTTTGCCGATCGTTTAGCAGCGGGCCATGTGAGGGAATCAACTTCCCCACATAGCTCTCCGACCTTCTGTGTGCGAAAAGCAACAGGAGGGTGGCGGATAGTGCACGCGTTTAACAAATTGAACGCTGCAACGGTACCGGCTCAGACGCCGATACCGAGGAAGGACGTAATCATTGATGGTATGTCAAAGAGTACCATCTTTTCGTCCATGGATTTGATGGATGGCTTCTATCAAATCCTTATGCGGGAACGGGATATACCCTATACCGCAGTTAGCACGCCTAGCGGCATGCTCTGGGAATGGCTAGTAATGCCACAAGGGCTCAGTAATGCCCCTGCCACGTTCAACAGATGTGTATCACATCTGTTGAGACCAGTACGAGAGTTCGCGCCGAGTTATTTCGATGACGTATTCATCCATAGTCGAGCTATGGATGGAAAGTCGGACGTTGAGGTTCACAGGTACCACGTCCGACAAGTTCTTACAATCATGCGAAAGCATCAATTGTATGCAAACCTCAAGAAGTGTATATTTGCAGCAAGCGAAATACCACTTCTTGGGTGCATCGTTGGTAAGAACGGTGTACGTCCTGATCCCGAAAAGATCAAGGCGATCACCGACTGGCCTGTGCCGGTCGATGTCAAAGGTCTTCGAAAATTCCTTGGGCTAGCGGCGTATTTGCATAAATATTCACGCAATTACGCCGAGATGACTGTGCACCTCTCTCGTTTGTTGAAAAAGAACGAGAGGTGGTTATGGAACGCTGAATGTCAACGCTCCTTTGAGGGTATCAAGCAGAGCTTGATACAATCCCCAGTCCTAGCAATAGCCGATCAGGACAGGCCATTTCATGTGGTCTGTGATGCCAGCGATTTCGCAATCGGCTGTGCATTAATGCAGTACGATCTTGAAGGCGTTGAACGCGTCGTCTGCTATCAGTCGCGTCAGCTGCAACCAGCTGAGCGGAACTATCCAGTGCATGACAAGGAACTCCTTGCCATGAAGTATGCACTCGCGAAGTTCAGAGTCTATCTATTAGGAGATAGACCCTTCGTTGTTTACACTGACCATGCGTCCTTACGCACGGCAGTGAACAGCCCGCACCTTTCACAACGAATGGCGCGGTGGTTGTCATTCTTTGCAGAATACAACTTTACGGTCGAGTACAAACCAGGGCGACTTAATGTCGTCGC